ACGATTTTACAACCTCTATCTGCTGCTCTGCTGTTCGTGGAGGGAGCTGGGCTGCCGATGTATCTTCCCTGAGCTGCAACAGCCCATTCAAAACGCCCAGACAGTTCTTCAGTGCCACTTCGGCAGTTGCCAGTATTGCTATCATCTTCCTTTTGTATTTTTCAGGGGCCTTTTCCTTATATAGATGCCGTGGCTGCTTTAACTCTGTTATCAAAGTTGTCAGAGTTATGAGCCTGCTGCGGAGCTTCTTACTACCTGCGCCATCATGCCCGTGGTAAAGTGCGTGCTTTGCCAGCTTAATGAGAGAGTCGCCTACAGCACTTCTACGACGCTCCTTACCCTCCTTAACTAGATAAATGGCTCCCAAATCCAGGGCGAGCAGCTTCAACACGTGGTTTGTCAGCTGCAAACGGTGTCTGCGCGTCAACACTGGCAGCAACGATCGGCATGAACTCGCAGCCTCTTGCATGCGCCTAAAGAGACGTATTAAGCAATGTTCTTCTTCCGCAGGGATGTTCCGGCTTTCCCATAAGTGCAAGTCACATGTTTCGTGTGATTTTTCTGAATCAGGAGCAACGCCACCAACGTATTCCCTAACCGCATCATAAAATGCTTCCATGAAGTCTGCTTCTGCTTCTTCAGCTTCTGCTTCTTTACCTCCAGCAGCGCCTTGTAACCCAGCAGCAACTACTTCTTCTTGTGTTCCTCCGGCAGTGCTTTGTAATCCGAAAGCCTCATGATGCAGCAAAGGGCTGCCTTCCCCAAAACTCTCTAGCTCTAAACCATCTGCCGAATCCCCCGTCGGACCACTGCCACCTTCATCGCCATCCCCAGACACACTGCCTGAATCGCACGACTCGTCTCGACGAGCTGCGAGAGATCTAGTGGGCGGGGACCACTAACGCGCAGACTCTATAAAGCGAAAACAGGAAAATGTAAACTCCTCGTTAACTCGTCGCATCGCCTATAGGGCGGCGCAAGCTGCATGCAGAGCCTTCCGGCTTTCCCATAAGTGCAAGTCACATGTTTCGTGTGATTTTTCTGAATCAGGAGCAACGCCACCAACGTATTCCCTAACCGCATCATAAAATGCTTCCATGAAGTCTGCTTCTGCTTCTTCAGCTTCTGCTTCTTTACCTCCAGCAGCGCCTTGTAACCCAGCAGCAACTACTTCTTCTTGTGTTCCTCCGGCAGTGCTTTGTAATCCGAAAGCCTCATGATGCAGCAAAGGGCTGCCTTCCCCAAAACTCTCTAGCTCTAAACCATCTGCCGAATCCCCCGTCGGACCACTGCCACCTTCATCGCCATCCCCAGACACACTGCCTGAATCGCACGACTCGTCTCGACGAGCTGCGAGAGATCTAGTGGGCGGGGACCACTAACGCGCAGACTCTATAAAGCGAAAACAGGAAAATGTAAACTCCTCGTTAACTCGTCGCATCGCCTATAGGGCGGCGCAAGCTGCATGCAGAGCCGGGTTGCTGCTAAGGAAGCCGACACAGTATAGGTGGAAAAAGGAATTTTAGGACCTGTACAGGATGCACAGGATGCGCTACTGTGCGGCAAGTGGGACGAGATCCTCGCTTACTTATTGTCGGTCGCATCTCAGCCTGTGGCGTAAGTCTTTGGTTTTTTCCATTGTGTACAACCTGACGCACTTTGCATCGGCGCCCGAGCAGGCCACTGTAACTTCGCCGCATTCAATATCGGTACGCCTTGCGATTTAGAAAAAATAGCTCAGTGACGGCCGCTCCAAGTACGACCACTCGGGAAGCTATCTCTTGCTTCGTCCTGGCCATCCGGCATACGACGTTGGGCGCCTCCTCCCTCTCGCGGCATTCCCCCGCGGGCAGTTGAGCGACTTTCTATAGAGGCAGGTGAAGCCTGTGAAAAAGGCAACCAGGGGGGTATGCCGCCACCTCCAAAGAGACTGTAGCCTCCTTGAAAAGGCGCTGGCGGCTGCAGCCGCTGAGACGGTTCACCCACACCTACACGCGGCCGCGGAGAAGAGGACACCAAAGGCGCTGCAGCGCTGCGACCACCATATGCCTGCTCTGATGAGACACTATGAGGTGGACGTGCAGTCTGCTGAACATCTGACGGTTGAGGCGACTCTGCAAAGCTCATCTGCGGTGGAGGGAAATATGGATGGGTAAATGAAACTCCACTTGTACGTGCTTCCGACGACACATTCGAAAGATAAGACCCTGGGAGAAACACAGACGCAGAGGCAAGCTTCGGCAATTGATCCTGAGGACTCCAGGAGGAACCAAGTGTGTGCAGTTGCTGCCGACCCGGTCCAGCACCTTGTCGAGGCGCCTGGCCAGGTCGCCACAGTGGTGCTGTGGCTGGCGGTGAATGCATTTCCTCTACTTCTTCATGCGGCGTAGAAGTTGTGGTGTCAGATGAAAGCGTCACGGCTTCTGCGAAGCCTTCGTGCA